TGTGTGTGTGTCTTTATAGTAACTACTCTGGCTGTATAGTTGGAGAACATGATAGGTTTACGAGGTTTTCTCTGATGGATGGTGAGGCATCTGTTACTATGGGCGTAATTACTTAAACAGTATTAGAGATTGTTCTCTGAGTGTAATGAATTATAGGAATGAGAAATCCAACCATTGTCTTAGTCTGGCCTTTTGCTGAAGATACTGGACCCGATTTCATTCTGCTGAATGATAACGTCTGTCTCCCACTGACCGTGTCATCGGTACACAAATAAGAAACGACCGTGAGAATGGATTGGTCTTCAATTTCTCTCAATTTTATTAACATATAACACCTTGGGACCAGCTTCAGAGGTGAGCTTCTCACCAACGTGATCAAATACACGTGATCAGCTGGGAAACGCCTTGGTTGCGAAATGGGGAAAGATTTCCCCAATATTCTATCCTGAGATACATATAGAGTTGTGTAGTACCAACGTTTATAAAGGTGCGTTGACCACTAAGGGTGGACATTCCCTATTAATGGCACATAAATATGCTTAGAACTTTACCTTTTACAAATTCTTGAGTTTCGGCGTTGCTGGGAAAAACTCCGAAATTAGATGTGGCATGTCATGATATGAGCATCGTAAAGTTGCGGAGAAGCATTATCTTCACAGTCTGGTGTATTATAATTTAGTCCGAACAAAACAATAACCTTCTTTCACTAAAAGTTGCAAGTTTCAATTCGTTAATTTTCAAGTTTCCACAAATTCCTGATCATTAATTTACTTCTGTTTTGTCATTTGTTTGTGGCCATATTAGAAATGTATCACCAACTCACCTAAGCCAAATCTTGGATCAGCTGTTTTGAAGGCATTAACGTTACAGAATTAATGAACCACCTAAACAGACAAATCACCTGCTACAATTCATAATGGAAATTGAAAAAGATAGCAAGTCTCTATTTCTTAATGTGATGGTTATCAGGATACATAACTGATATACCGCAGGAGTTTATAGAGAGCATAAAGATGCTAGTAAATACCTTGACTGTAAGTCAAACCACTTCACTGTGTATAAGCAGGCACCATAGAATGTCTAGTTTCCAGAATTAACACGCTTTGTAATACTGAATATGCTAAGAAGTATGAAGAAAATTACATAATGCAACCTTCCTTAACAATGAATACTCAGAACACTTGATAAAGTAAAAACTATGATAAACACCAAAAATAAACAGGAACAAAATTACAGGCATACAACCATATTCCCATATGTCAGAATGTGAATTACAATACATGGAAGAAACAAAGAGGGCAAGGAGAGCTAGGATTCAGGACCATTATAGACATACTAGACTCGGTTATATCAATCTGTCTGCAATAGTCCATCATGCCGTGCGATAAGGTGACACAATACTATAATAATAGGATGTGAACCATACATGATAAAAAGAAGTCTTCCTCTTCCGCCTAACTGGTAACACATGCAATCAAACCTAGCACAGATATTAACAAAACTTGAATTTCCCCCTTGAAAAACAAATAGTAGGGTGACTCAAATTCGTAATGGGGGACAAACCTCTGCTGACTGGATAACGCACCACACTTCCAGCAAGAAGATTGTTTGTTTGTTTGTTTTTG